AGCAAGCGCGCTTTCCCCAGGGGAGACGTGCGCGGGTTCTTTGTCAAGCCAGACGTAGGGAGGAAGCATGCAGGGGTGGAGAAAGAGCAGGGAAGGAGGGGGAAGAGAGAGCATGGCCCACCGCTGCAACCACGCAGTCTGGAAGGGGCGTCTTCAGGGGCCAGACCGATTTCTGGAAAAGACCACGAAGAGGCTGGCAAAGAGGGTGGGACCGCAACCAGGGCGGTCGTGGTGATCGATGTGGACGGAGAAGACGGCAGGGAAGACCCAGAAGAGGGAGGGGGAAAATCGACGGAAAGGAGCCGCTGCGGCGTGGTGTATGTGGAGACTGCCTTGGGGTCCGAAGGGAGGGTTGGGGACGGTGGCCACAGTCCTCGCCCGGACCCGAGGTCGGCGCACATGGTAGACTTGGAGCCGCTGGCCTGCCCTGCCGCGTCCTCTTCCCCCTTGGCTTTCCCCGCTTCCGCCTCCTCGTCCTCTCCGGACCCTGCCTCCACTTCTCTCCCCTGTGGCTCCCTGCAACCCCCCATCTCCACCCACACTGACCCGCCCGTAGCGTCGTCCACCAGGCTCGCTTCTCGTCCCCCCCGGGGCCCTCCCTCCCGTCAAGACCTGGTCTGGAGTTGCCAGGCCTGCACGTTTTTGAACCGATTCCCCTCGCGCCCCTTTCCTGCCTCCCTTCCTCCACCTTCCGCTTCTCTTCATCGCCTGAGGGCCTCTGGAGGCGTCGCATGTGGACTTGAGAAGGGCAATTCTTCGCTGCTTTGTCGCATGTGTGCCACACCCGCCCCGACGGCCCTGGCCGAGACATTGGGCCGAGAAGGCGCGAGGTCAAAGGAGAAGAAGGACGAAGTCGAGGCCGTTGGTGGGGTCGTGCGACATGATGGGGAGGGAAGGCAGCAAGAGGCAGAGGAGGAGGAGGAGGATGGGGTATTGGTGGTGGGACAAGAGGAGGATTGGATCCGGGGCATGTCGCGAGGGCGGGGCACTCGACAGCCGACGCAGCGCCCCCCCCCGCAGGAAGAGGGAGGATGGAATGGGGGCAGGAGGGCCGGTGTGTCGGGGAGCCGGGAGGGGAAGAAAGGGGAAGGGCGAAAGAGGGAGGCGCCCACCGGCTTCGGCGAAAGGGCACCTAGAGCCAGCGTCCGGTTCCCCAGGTCGAGGGGGGGATTCAGGGAAGATGGAAGCGAAGAGAGCGCGTGGGAGCGATTGAAAGCCAGGGTAGGGATTACAGACGATAGACGGGGAGGAGAAGAAGGGGGGGCGGAGGGAGGGAGGAGGGGCATAGGTATGTCTTTCGCGGTGTCTGCAAACACAGAGCGGGTCCGGGTGGCCTATGGACCAGCTGGAGGGGAAGACGGAAGGCGGGGGGCTGGAGCCGTGAATTTCAGCATGGAGGAATTTTATGCGTTGGTGGATGGACAGAGACTTGAACTCGTGAACACGCCATTTGAGGGGCTAGGGCCCTTCCTTGAGCTCGACGGGAGCGAGCCCGCGGCGGCCACCTCCCCTTTCTCCCTGTGCCTGCAGGTGCTGCTGGGGTGCGAAGCCTTCGTGCAGCAGTGGGCGGACTTGAGGGGGTGGGAAAGGAAGCTGCTCGCAGAGGCGGAGCACTTGCACCTGCCTTTGGCGCAATCACTTCGGAAAGAGATTGGGAAGATATGGTGGAAGGGGGAAGGAGCCGTGGAGGGCGGGACGGAGGGTCAAGGAGGGGAGAGGGGGGAGGAGAGGAGGAAGCCATGTTTCGAGCGGTACGTCAAGTATCCAGCGCTGGAAAATGGCCCCTCAGGGACCAAGGTTATTCCACCTTATGTGCCGCATGCCTTCGCACCACGAGCCAACGTCCCCACCCATGCAGGCTGGCCTCCTGCACCCACTGAAAAATGCCCAGTCCCCACCAATGCCGAGGCCAGCACCTGTACCAGTGCCAGCAGTGGGATGGAGAAGGATAGTGTGAGGACAGCGGGGAAGGGCATGGGGGGAATCCACATATCCCCGCATGGTGCGATTTCACCCCCAGGCTCGACCCCTGCGTCTTCGATCCCTTTGCTGTGCAGCTTCTGCAAACGCCCCATCTCGGATCCCTCCCTCCTTCGTGACCACACCCTCCGCCTTTCCATGGCACATCACAGCCAGAGCTTCGCCTCCGTCACCACCGCTGGGGGCCGCGACCGAGTGGATCGGATCGGTAGCGGCCCTCGGCAGCCCTACTGCTCCTATGCGTGCGGACAGGAAATTCTTCTGCGAGCCGGCTCCTCTTCGCTCATACGACGGCAACTTTTTGCTTTGGAACGAGGGGTCTGTCAACTCTGTGGCTGCGACTGCCACGCGTTGTTCCAGCAAGTAAAAAGCTTGCCCCCCCCCGAGCGTGTGCAGCTTTTCATGCGTCTCGAACACGCTTTCACATGTCTGGACAAGGCGGCCATTACGGATCCTCGCGAGGGGCACTTTTGGCAGGTCGATCACGTCTTACCCGTCGTGGAAGGGGGAGGAGCCTGCGGGTTGGAGAATCTACGTACCTTGTGCACCCCCTGCCATGCCCGAGAAACCACGCGTTTACGGATGCGATTGAGAGAGGGGAGGAACCAGGAGGCGGCCAAAGGCACCCGAGACATCCGGTCTTTTGCGCGGAACGCGGAAGGAAAGAAAGCGTGTGGGAGACTTTGAGTGTTGTTGCTGAAAGTGTGCGCAAAAAGGTAGCAGGGAACATTAGAAGCGAAGAACGAGAAAGAAAGTAGGAAGGCTGGGCTTGTATGATAACTTGTGGCAACCAGGCCCTGTAAAAGTACCCTGTGACTCAACCCCCCGCTGTCAAACCGGCTCTCCTTATCGTTTGACAGCCGTTATGTTGGGCTTACATACGCAGTGCTTTCGTTTACTTCGCTATTCTATGCAACGCCAGACAGCGGTCACTCTCTTTGGCTCTTATTCCTGGGGGAATATGTCTCCTTGAGCCTTGATTTACCGGGCTCTCTCCTCCCCAACGATCACCTGAAAATATCTATCACTGCGTGGTATGCAGCGCCTCTCCTTCCCGCACCGCTCGAAAACGTCACACCTGTCACTGCGAGTCACGCAGTGTCTCTCTTTTTCCTCTTCCATCTCTCCAGCCCGCCCCAAAACTACACAGCATTCACATTACCCACACAGTCACACACGCTTCCTTCTCCTTCCCTCGACTTTCCTCTAATAGTCGTGCCTGGAAGAAGGAACGGCATTGACTTCTTGAAACGGGTTTTCCCCCACCCGGGACCGTCCCCCCCGCGGCCCTGCCGTCTTTTGAATGTAAAAACAGGAATCGAAGTACCTACTTTCCACCTCCAACCGATACGGCTCTTCAAATCTGGACTCCAAGTACGCCCACCCTGACCCCGGCAGCCGGGCGTCGTGGGCAAAGACTCCCCATGGTCCCCGTTCCCATCCCGCCTCTCCCCCTCTTCTGACGATGGAGTACGACAGGTAGGGGTTGTATTTGTAACGGTAGGCCGCAGCCTGGAAACAGGGGACAAAGTCCGACATGATCATGGGCCGGACGTGCTCCCCCATGCCGCCTTGCGGGAGGTGCGAGTAGGCGGTCAGGGCTGGATTCACGAGCACTACAGGGGCCCCCCGCAATGTCGCAATGGCAGTGAGTCGCTGGAACTCGGACACCTCCGCCAAACTCCCCGCCGCATTTTGTGGGACGAAAAAGACGACCATTTCAGGCTTGTTCCCAATGTCAATGCGCTTTGTTTTGGGAAAGCTTTTGGCGCTGCCGCCGAGGGGAAAGGACGGGGCCCGGCGCTTCTTACCCTCAAATTCAGCGTATTCCTCGCTTTCTTGTCTTGGCCTCGACAAATACTCTATCTGCAGCTCATCCAACGCACCTCCTTGCCTCAAGCGTTTTTCTACAAAGCTGGCTTCTTCCCTCCGCCCAAACACAGCCACGACACGGTGGTACCCATGATTTCGTAAGTTCAGCAGCACCTTCTCGTATAAAGGCAAATAGCGATGACTGACCGCACAGGACCAATCCTCGGACAAGTCATGTATGTCGTCCAGTTGAAGGTCGACGCGGAGTCGGGGGGCTGATGTGATGAGGCTGGGGCCCGGTGATATGGGAGAGGGACTTGCCCGTGGCAGGGACATTGAGGTTGAGACCGAGGCCGCCGCTTCCGCTTCTAGCTGACGATGCCGTGCGTCCTCCTCTATCATCCTTGCCACACTGGCAGCAATGTCGTCGGCCAGGCCCGAGGGTGTATCGGGAAAAGTAGGGAAAGTTCGCAGGGGGCGGCGGGGGAGTGCGCGGGTCGTGTACGGCAAGTACGCTTCCCCCTGAGATCCTTGGGGGTAAAACGAGGACGCAGGGCCAGCGTACCCAAATCCAGTTGCGTGAGTACATGACCCCAATCCCAATGCAGCTCCTTGTAAGATGGTCAGGTCCAGCACGATCAGCGCGAATCCAAATTTAGTGCGCCCGCCCATGGGTGGCTCCTGGCCGGTGGTAGATCTTAGTGTTGAGGATGTGCCCATAGAGCAGCTTCGATACTTTGAGGGTTGAGAACCCTCAAAAGCCAGTCGATACGCGGGTTCCTAGTCTATATCTACGCGTGTTTCTAATCTGTGTCTGGGCATATGTACAGATCCGTGGTAAGTTGCATGTTAGATCCAGAAGAAGTCCAGAGTAGATTCTAGCGGTTTCTTCCGCAGTATCATCATAGCCTCTACCTTTGTGCATCCATAAATACCGCCACTGACAGACACAAGCGCCTCAGAGGAAATCAAACATGTGAAAATAAATGCAGCGTGGGATACGCAGGCTTTCTGTGCTGCCCTTGTTGCCCATAAAATACATTTTGGCAATACTTATGCGAGCGTAGCAGCCTTGCTAAGAAAGGCACCAGCATACTGAGGAACTCGCTTTTTTCATGTCGTCGAGACAAGCGATTTGTGTATTTCACAGATAATTGGACAACCACTAAAAACCATCCTTCCCTACTTTTTATACTTTCGCGGACGTAAGCTTGGCTGATTTCTGCCTTCAAAGTTGGTGATCATAGATCTTGCTTTATACGATCCATTCTCGGCCGTGCGAGCGGTCTCGGACACATAATGCCAAGCTATTGAGTCATACGCACCACCACCGCCCGCAGAGTCCCGAAACCCACTATGGTAATACTACTGGCGCGATTATGTTTGATGTGCACGCCCACTTGACTGCGCAAGAATTATTGCCGGATCTAGACAGATTATTGACGGAAGCGTATAGGTACGTGTATCAAGAGAAATTACCGTAGCACTTTCCCTCTCTTTCCTCTCTTCCTCCCTGGTCCATTTAAGACTCTATCCTATACAAGAAGATGAAGGAAAGATCCGCAAATATCACAATGTAGCCATGTATGGAGCTTGTTGAACAGAACGAAAGGCATTTTTCTCATTTAAGACCCAGTAAAGCCTGGTAGCCCTGACACTCGATAACCCTTGAACACAGTGTCGGTGTCCGCGACATTGTGGTCGTCTCCGAGAATGTACGAGACGCAGCCTTGGTTCTAAACCTGCCGCCTTGCCAAAACGGCGTCCGGCTGCATAAGTCGTTAGGTCTTCATCCTGAACATGCATGTCTAAAATCCTTGTCTACCGTGCTAAACCTCATCCGAGAGAATCACACGAAGCTGGCCTGTGTGGGAGAAATCGGATTGGACTTCTCTCCGCACATCTTGGGACATGATGATGCCGAGGCTGTCAAAGCATTGCAACGGGAGTGTATGAGACAACAAGTAGAGCTGGCATACGAACTTGATTTGCCCGTAAACGTGCATTCCCGGGGAGCGGGGCACCACGCTTTGTCACTGCTGCGAGAAACAGTGTCAGCATCAAGCGTTGCAGACACGCTAAAAACAACAGAGAGAGCCAGTAGTCAAACAAGAGCTAGGATGTATGAAGGTCGGGTCCGCGCCGTGATGCACGCATGGGACGGAAAGGCTAAATACGCAGCAGCGGCTGCTGCAGATTCCCAACAAAGCATTTATTTTTCGGTTCCTCCCTGTGCGTCACGCAGTCCTGTCATGATCAAGTGGATTGAACGCTTGCCATTGGAAAGTCTGTTACTGGAAACAGATTGTCCAGCTTTGGCGGCTGTGAAAGGAGAGGTCAACGTGCCTCGAAATTTGCAGCTGTCATTGCAAGTCATAGGCGCACGTAAAGGAGTAGGACTGGATATTGTCCGAGAGATCACGCGGAAAAATGCAGAGGAATTGTTCGGTTTGCAAGCCGGGAAGGAATGAAGTGAAGAAATTTGTCAATCCCTTGAAAGGAAACGTTCTGGGCGACCTGATAATATGGCAACATGGCTACAAAAAAGATACTTTGACAGTATCTTACTGTTTCAGACCTTGTAAAAAAAAAGGATTCTTGAAGAAGGCCGCATCAAAATCAATTAGACCGCTGTGCATCAGGTGTTTTTAGATGTTTGGCAGGGACATTGCAGACCTGCGTGACTCAAAAATCGGCCCATGTCACGACTCGATTGGATGTCTTTTTTTCCTTCAGAATCGAAAAGATCAATCGACGTCATTATTTTCCAATGAATATATCATTCGACTGTTTGAGAACATTAATAATAATTATTACCTATGTGCGTCACACAATTCATCCGTTGTGCCCACATGAAGAAGGATCGTATCGCCTCGATCTTCCCGCCATTCCCCCGTGCTTCTGGTTACGTGCACACACAGCAAAGCATTACCACGAAATCAAAGCGTGCACAAATATTTTTAAATTGGTAAACTTGTTATTTGGTTTGAGGCATTAATCACCTACACAATTGTCCATCGCCGCCTTCACGACTGTGAGTCTGCAGCTTTTCCGTGCGGCATGTTTTGTGTAAGTTGCCTCACCGCTACATCTAACATTCGCCGCGAACTTGCACCTCGTTCGTAGGACTTCAGCAGCCAAAGGAGGGTGGAAAGGAGCAGCATGCTTTTTCCTTTTTCAATCCTTGAGGGGATGGAGTCACGGCAATGCCTTTGAGAGGAAATATGAAAGACATGAAGTAGCGTCCCAATGCAAAAAGCCGAGCCTCCTTTTGCCCCCATAGCCGATTTCCACTTTTCCCTTTCCTCTTCTGCTTCCTCCTCTCCCAATTCATCGTACTCTTCGACGCTCTCATTGCCTGCAGCCTCCTCCCTGCTTCCTCATGTGGCGTCGTCAGGATTTCTATCCTCGCCATCGAAATTCTATGACAGTGAGAGCGCCGACGACCAAGACGTTCTGCACGAGGTGGAAGACGGCTTCGCCCGGCAAATGGACGCCCTCGAGCGCATACACAAGCCCTCCATAGTTCCTGGATTCAGACGCACAGAGGCGCCTTTTACGGTGGCTGACGCGGCAGTGGACGGGACAGGCCATGCGACTGGATCTCGGCAGCCCTCCCACACCCCGCCAGCAAACGAAGCAGGGGAAACTGCGGCAACAAGAAAGCCTGCAACAGAGTGGGGAAATAGAAAAGTCTTGGAGGGAGGACATGGCGCGCAAGGGACCGCGGGAACTAATGTGCAGGTCCCACCAATTTCTGATGACTCGGACGACAGCGCCCCGGGCGACCATGCCTCCCGCAGTAGCCCATTCCAAGGTAAACGCCGCACTCTCCACTCCCTCCGGCTACGCACCGGCCGAGCCTTGACGCGGCGTCGCCGATTTATGTGCTTGGACGGCTTTGCGCAGTCCACGGCAATGCGGCGCACGCTCCGTTGCTGGCGGGGACGGGGCTTGCAAGCCTGGTACGAAAAGACGGCAATTGCCTGGGCCGACGCGCGAAGGCAACGGCGTGCGCTCCGTTGGTGGTGGGAAACGATCAAGCACGGGGAGAAGGAGCAGCGGGAGGCGGAGGCATTGGCGGGGACGCGGCATGCTCTTTCTGTGATGTTCAGGTGTTGGAAACGGTGGAAGACGAGGCACAGGCAACATCGACAACACGAAGCAGCGGAGCAGGCAAGGGCGAAGGAAGAGGGCCGGACAGCGGACATGGAAGCATGGAGGCGTCGGCGACAAGTCCGGCGGGGGCTCGCGTGTCTTAAGGAGGGGGCCCAGCGTTATCGCAAGATGCTTCAAGGCCAGGCTTGGGGACGGCACAGACAGGTGCTGCACGGATGGATGGCGCTCCTGCGCGCGGGTGCAGCCTGGCGGCAGTGGCGAGCGACGGAGGTTTACCTGGGGGAAGTGGGAATGATGGCGTGCTGTGTGGGGAGGGCCACGCGGGCCGTAAGACAATGGCAGATATGGGCCGAGGAGCACGTGAGGGCCCGCGAGAGGGTGGAAGCTGGAGATACCGGGTGGCAGAAGCAGCAGTTGGAGAGCTCAGTGGCTGCCTGGCGCGCGTGGACGCAGTCGAAGGGGTGCCAGGGCCGGAAAAGGCGGGAAAGTAACGCATGGTGGTACCTGTGGCAGATACATCGGGCATTCCAACGATGGCGAGGGCGAACGGGAGGAAGCCGTCAAGGGAGGCGGGCGACGGAGTGGAGGCTCTCGCGCGGGTGGCGGGTCTGGAGGAAGTGGACAGCAGGACGGCAAGAAGCGAAGAGGGTGCGGATGGAGTGGGAGGAGGCGTGCTGGCGGCGGAAGGTTTGCCAGGCGCTGCGGGTGTGGGAAGGGCTGGTGAGGAGGAAGAAAGAGGAGAGAGACCGGGGCAGGCGCACGCTGGCATGGAAATGCAGCCGAGGCCAAGACCGATGCCTGCAACGGTGGGCGCGACGGACGATGGCAGACATGTGGCAAAGGGCAAAGGTGGAGTGTGGCCAGCAAGCCTACGGGAAGCGAGGGGAGGCAAAGGGATGGGAAGCTTGGTCTATGGGAACTCAGAGCTTGAAAGCCTTCCACGAGCAAGAGGAGCGGGCTGGTCGCCTGTGGGCTCACCGACAAGTCTCATGGGCTCTGCGAAAATGGACCTGTGGTGCCTGGGAGCTTGGAGAGCAACGACGCCGGGCGTGGGAAAGAGGAAGGGAGGCGATGTGGCAGTGGAAAGAAAGGCGGGAAGCTGGGGCGTGGCGAGCCTGGAAAATATGGGCCGCCCGGCACCGACTCGAGCGAGCAAGACGGGTACAGCAGCAGGCGGAGGCACGACAGGCCAAGCTTGTGGAGGCTGCCACGTCGTGGTGGAGGGGGGCCTCCACTGGGGCTAAGGTGTGCACTTGGAGAACGTGCGCTGTGGGCATCAAAGGGCCAAAAGGACGACGACTTTTACCCCCACCCCGACCGTGGACGGGAGAAGATATTCAAATAAGGCATCACGGGATCAGATCGGCTGGCGGGACGAGCTGGGGAGGGAGTGTTGACAATCGTGTCCGGAACCCGCGCCTCGATACAGTGAGTTGGCAAGGCCCGATCCACGATCGCATCGAACGAGACGGCCGATCCTCGTTTGCTTCCTCCCTCCCCATCCCTCCCTTCTTGTCGAGCTCCAGTTCGGCCCATTTCACGCGCATAGGGCCTCGTTGTCAGCCTCGGCGTCCTTTAGAGCTGATGCTGGAGTCCTATGGTGTGCGTGTTCCGCCCTGGATCGCAGAGGAGTTGCGTACGCGGGAAGCGTCGGCAGTTGACGAGGAAATTTCACAGACCTCCCACAGAGGAACGAGAAAAGAGAGGAATGACCAGCTTTCGGCGTGCTCTTTTGTTCCTTCTGGTGGGAGGACAAGGAGCGTGGAGGACCGGCGCGGTGATCCGCCGGGCAAATCGATTACAACCCCCGCCCCACCCTTCTGCCCCCGCACGGACACTTTGGTGCCTACAGCCCCTCGTGATGTGTCCTCGACAGTCGGATGCTCACCCTCGTTTCCTGGAGTGGACGCTGTAGGCATCGAAGCGCTGGGCAAGAGTGGTCCCGACCTGGGTGCCGGTGCACTCGTGGCGAGCGCAGCAAAGTACGGCATCGCCCTGCCTATGGAAGGGATGGAGAATGATGGAAGAAAACGAGAGAGGGGAGAGCGGGTGGAAGGACTGGAAATGGATGCGGTCTCGACTCTCGTGTGGGAAAATGAAGGGGGAGAGGATCGGGAACGGGACACTCTGGATGTGCAGGCCGGAGGGGGTGGCGACGGGGACACGGAGGAGGATGTGGGCGCATGTGAAAATGCCGAAGACATAGAGGGGGACGAATTGGACATCTTGGAGGCCCGTCTGAGAGGTTGGATGATGGAGCGTGAGCGATTCGAGCATGCGCGCAAGGAATTCGAGTCCCGAAAGCAAGACAAACTCAAGCAGGAATCCCGGCAACAAGAGCCTCCTTCCTCCGACTCCTCACTCTCCGCGGCCTCGCTCGACGTATCCTCCTCCCATCCTATGGTCCACCTCGACCGTCATACCTCTAACCGTCTCGAGGGCTCAGAAGACCACAACACGGAGGGCCACAACCCCAGTGACAGGACTCAAAGAAGGAATCGGCGCCAAGAGGAACGGATGGAGGAGTTGCACGACGTGATGCGAGAGTATGAAATGTGGCAGAAAAAGACAATGCCTTTGATCCAAGCTGTCTATGAGAGAGTCCGTCGCAAGAAATTGCAACTTTCAGAAGGAAAGGAGACGACGATTGGAAAGGTGAGTGGGGAAAGAGGCTTCGTGCAAGCGAAAACGTGATGCGTACAGTCATGAATCATAAACAAGGTTGGAATGGTGGTGTACATAGAGACTGGTATGCAAAAGTCCAAGGGACACGCTTCTCCGGAATGTTGTCACGTCATGAAGTGTTAAATGTCAAGGCAGCGTTCATGACTTACTTCAGCGTTCACTTAATAAAAGTGATAAAGAAAGTACCGTTTTCATCATTATATTTTCTTATTTCTTGCATGGACTATCATCTCCTGACTATTTGATTTTTTTCTGTCAAATTGACAGAGTCTGTAATGCACGTATTTTCTTATCGTTTGACTATCGGATCTCTTCTGAAGAACTAATATCATGTCCACCTGCAGTATATCGCCGGTGAGTGGTTGATGGATTAGAAATTCCAATTGAGAATCTTCACGTACACAAGTGGCCGTCTTTCAAGCAATTAGTAGACACTATACTATATAAATCGTGAGACTTTACCTGCGCTTACCTAAGGCAATTGACTACGCCGCCGATCTTTACTATGACGTCAATGTTCAACTTCAACGGCCGAGCGCAGGCGGCTAAATAACAGACTGGACGGTACGAGCATCGTTCTTTTCAAAGCGTATACTGACCTGATAATTACTGAAACTTTTTAAGCGTTAAAATTTCAATAAAATCTTAATTTCCTGCGATTCAAGACTGAAAATCGCTCTTGTAATGATAATTCTGCTCATTATAGAAGAGGCAAATTGTATCTCAAATTCGAGCTGTTGTTAACGTTATCACCCATTCGCACACATACAAACCGAGAAATCTCAGCTCAAACAGGCCGTATGCTGCATCGAGGTATTTAAAATAGTCATAGATACGAGTTACACGA